AGAGGGAGAGGGAGAGGGAGAGGGAGAGGGAGAGGGAGAGGAGAGAGAGGTGTGCACACACGCATATATGCATATAAAGAAACGTAACTTGAAAATGGAAAGAGATTTTAATATCACAGTTCATGACTTTATAGGATTTCATAGTTCTCAGACCTTAATATCTCAGGTAAATTTGACACAGGTATCAGTGAAAAAAAAAATTAAATCGTGGATGGAGAGGTCCCTTGGTTCATAGAGTGCTTGCCACATGAGTGCTAGGGACTGAACTCAGGTCCGACTGTATAGCAGGCACCTTCTTGGCTGAGCTGTATCCCTAGCTCCTTTTTAGATGGATCTTGAGATCCATGCTCTTCTCCGGCTTTAGCACTAAGATGCCCAGGATGGCCTTGAGGGCTTGAGTTTGGGCCCCCAGCACCGAAGTGAAATTCTGGGCCTGGTAACCAGCCCCTGTAACCCCACTGCTTGGGAGGTAGAGACAAATAGAAGGATAAGGGATAGGCCTGCTGGCCAGCTGGTCTAGCCAATCAGTGAGCTCCAGGTTCAATGAGATAGTCTGTTTCAAAACATATGAAGGAGACATATTGAGGAAGACACTTGACATCCATGTGTACCCATGTGCATGCACACGTGGACTTATATGCGTACATGAACATCCCCCTCCCCAGCAAATCAATACACAGATAACTGAAGGCCCACTTGTGAAAGGCCATCCTGGGCATCTTAGTGCTACAGCCGGAGAAGAGCATGGATCTCAAGATCCATCTAAAAAGGAGCTAGGGATACAGCTCAGCCAAGAAGGTGCCTGCTGTACAGTCAGACCTGAGTTTGGTCCCTAGCACTCATGTAAAAAGCCAGGTACGAGCCGGGCAGTGGTGGTGCACACCTTTAATCCCACCCAGCACTTGGGAGGCAGAGGCAGGTGGATCTCTGTGAGTTCAAGGCCAGCCTGGACTACAGGGTGAGTTCCAGGATAGCCAGGGCTGCACAGAGAAACCCTGTCTCAAAAAAAACCCAACCCAACCTAACCAAACCAAACAAACAAGAAAAGCCAGGTGTGGTCCTGCGAGGATACAAGGATACTCATGCAGACGGAGACATGCACGGGTCCCAGGAGCTTGTCCAAGGTGGGCCAGATGAGCCTCATCAGCAAGCCCCAAGTCCCAGTAAGAGACCCCGACTCAGAAAAACAAGGTGGATAACTCCTGAGAAATGACACCAGAGGTTGACCTCTGGCTTTCACATGCGTATATACATAGATGCACATATGAATACACACAAATAATACACTCATGCCCGTGCACACACACACACACACAAATATAAAAAGAACTGAGCATGTACCCAGTGGTAGGGCATTTGCCTAATTTGCAAGTCCCTGGATTCAATCCCCAGTACCACCAAAATAAAAAGACATTTGAGTTTGAGGAAACCACAGAACTAGACTGTTGAGGGCAAAGATTGACTCATGACCAGAGTCCCGTTGCATAAAGGACAAAAGAAACAAGAATGAGCAAAAGTCATTTGGTGTAACAACCCAGGCGGGGAGACAGTGGGTAGGCAAGGGGGGAGGGAGGCAATGCTTGCTAGCCCCCCGTTATGATCATATGGAAACAGAAAAAGAACAAAATAACCACTGGAGTGGGCGGCAGAGTTGAGAGATGGGAGCCCTGTGCATATTTGAGTAAGGAATTAAACTCAATTGTCAAGATAGTCAGGCTTGATTCCATTAAATATTTCCTCTGAGAGCTAGCCAACTGGTAGCCTTTAATCATGCTTTATATGTATAAGGGCCTTTCTCCAAAGAACTTGAAGTGCTCACTAAACGTTAAATAATTCGCTTTCCCAGGATCCTTTAGCGGAAAGTTGGTGGCTCACATTATGTTTATAGACATGAAAACGGTTGAAGGATGAGAATGATACTGTCAACTAAGGTCGCCAGGTGTCTATAGTGAGGGAAATCTACCTGGCCTTCCCTCGGCTGTTGGACCATTCTTGAATCACCCACAGCTTGCTAATACTCTTGCTTGCCCTGATGTTTCTGTCCCTCTTTGGCTATGGTCAGTCACAGGATCTGATGCATCAGCAGATAACCACAGGGTCATGGCAGAAGGATCCTGGAGCCAGCTGTGGGTCTTTCCTATGTTTGGTGTTGGACTACAAAGGGACCCCAGCATCTTCTTTCTGATTATTTATTTTCTTATTTGGTTTTTCAAGACAGGGTTTTTCTGTAGCCCTGGCTGTCCTAGAACTCACTTGTAGACCAAGCTGGCCTCAAACTCAGATCTCTTCCTGCTTCTGTCTCCTGAGTGCTGGAATTAAAGATGTGAGTCACCAGTGCCTGGCTCTGATTATTTATTTATCACAAGCAGATGCTGAGGTCAAGGATTAACCTAAATATCAAGCCCAAGAAAACAGATGACTGCTCAGATTGTGATCCGTGGGAACCCTTTCACAAGAACCTCTCCAGAGCTGTTTAGTAGTATCCCAATCCTTATGCTCTGGGCTGTGCATGACCCAACCAGGTGCTTAGAAGTCAAACTCCTGAAGGCAGAGAAGATCAGGGCACGCCACTAAGAAGATGACTGAGGGACCAAGGAGATGGCTCAGCATGTAAAGGTTTTGCCTTGCAATCATTAAGGCCTGAGCTGTGCCTCTACACCAGAAAAAATAAACAAGGCCTGGTAGCACATGCTTGTAGTCCCAACACCAGGGAAGTAGAGATAGGTGGATACTTGGGGCTCACTGGACAACCAGCTTAGGCTAATTGATAGGCTTCAGGCCAGTGAGAAACCCTGTCTCCAAATAAGGTGGATAGTATTCCTGAGGCTATCCTCTGGTCTCCATGTGCACCACATACATGTACCATGCGTCTGGAAACACATGTGTAACTGCATATATATGGGAATGCACAAATACACACGAAAAATGGGGAGGAGGAGAAAATGAAGACAATGACATAATTGGTCACTCTGATGTTGAGAGTGGGCTTTACTAGGCTAAGAAGGAAAGGGGATGTCAAAGGCCCCACAGTTCAGAGCCTCTGCTGTGTCTGCAAAAGGCACCTGATGTAAAGTTACAAGCTCTTCCCAGGTCTTGTTGAACTTAGCTAGTGAGGACTAGCTCCTTTGGGTTGGGCCAAGCAGTTCACATTCCAGGCCTGCTACTTAGAAAACTCAAGGGGGCCACTGGCACATTGGCACTAAGCTAAGGTTTTGCAGGCAACAGGAAGTGGTCTAAGACACTGGGCAGTATCTTGAGCATATATGAGCCTTCAAAGCCTGCCTCCACAGTGACACACTTCCTCCAACAAGC